AAACATTTATAGACAACTTCCTATGCAAGAAGAAATATTCTGAAGACTTGACATCCATTGTCTTATCTCCATTCTTGCTGTGTGACTGAATTGAAGTAAATGGGGGACTTAATATTAAGAGGCCTTCAGTTCAGAGGAAGATGTAGAGAAGTAAATAGGCAGCAATGATAAGTGTTACGGACAGGATAAGTTCAGAATTTTTATGCATGCATTCAACCCAGACATGTGGGTGAAGATAAATTGCACTTTTTGTAAGAATTGAGAGTTAAACGTCCACCTTAAAGACTGCCAGGAGTATGATGGAGGAACATAAAGTATTGTGGACAAGAGGAACATTTTGGATGCCAGAGAGTTTTCTGGGAGTTAGGGGGTGACTAATAAGAATATAGCCATTGTTCTCAGTGAAAGTAGAGGCCTTATTTCTGGTGTGAATTTCATAGTCTTTTCCACTTCCATGTGATCCTTATCTTCACTAAGTTATGGCCTTGAGTTAGAATTCAGAGTTCCTTATTATGCTGAAGACATGGGGGATGAGTCTTCACACTTGCTATGGATCTCAACGTGAAGTTTTACTACACACTTGTGGTAGCTACTATGCTGAAGTGGTATGAGAGTGTTAGGGGGAGTGTGAAGGAAAATGTAGCATCAGATTTATTACAGGAGAGTTTTATAATCATTGTGACTTACGGGATGTAGGGTAGGGTATGTTTGTTTTGGGGGGGGGGCAGGGCGGGTACGTGGGATTGAATTCAGGGGCACTAGACCACTGAGCCACATCCCCAGCCCTATTTTGTATTTTATTTAGAGAGAGGGTCTCACTGAGTTGCTTAGCACCTCTCTTTTGCTGAGGCTGGTTTTGAACTCTCCATCTTTCTGCTTTAGCCTCCTGAGCCGCTGGAATTATAGGTGTGTGCCGTGGTGCCCAGTGGTTTTTTTTTTTTAATATCTTTATTTCATTTAATTATAGGTTATGCTGAGGATCAAACCCATTGTCTCACCCATGCTAGGCAAGCACTCTACTACTGAACCACAACCCCAGCCTGCGGTAAAGGTTTTTTGGGATAGTGTTCAGTGCAAAGTACTCCTAAAATTTTGAATGCTAAAGTAAAACTGGTGTTTAGCCTGACGATATGCAAATAACATTTTCAGAAATGAATATGTATCCATTTTCCATAAAGACATTTAGTGAATGACATTTTATATCCCAGTGAATATTATGGCTTCAAGCACTTTAAGGAAAGCCTGATATGTGTTTGATGAAGAGGTTACAGTTCTATGTCTTTGGTGCTTGTGTGACACAGAGATTGGAAAATGAAATAGGGAACATGCTCCTGGTATTTCGTGGGCTGGAATGGGACATCAGCCATATAGACTTCGATCCTGCTGATCATAATATAAACTTTCCATTAGCTTTAATGCTCTCTCTAGCTTGAGGAATAAGGGTGGTGAGGGATAAAGCAGCTGAGTGGTAGATACTGCAGACTTTTTTAACCCACTTTTGAAGATGGAGGCCATAATAAAATGCATTCAAATGCATTTGCTGATTTTTCTCTTTTTGCAAGTGGGGATAGTTTAGAGCATCTTATGAAATCTACTTTAAATCCAGATTGCTAAGTTTTGTATTTAACAAATAAGTATTTTTATTTGGTTGTAGAGATATGGGAAGTGGAAAGGAGATATGTGCTATCATATTATTAAATTTTTTTGAGAATCATGTTTTTCCATGTACCTGAATGCCTCCACAGTACCCTTAAAAATAGCAGGGCCTGTGTGGCTCACATTCACATATACAAGCTGTGCTCCTAGATGTCATCTTCTTTCCTTTTTATCTTGCATCCCATAAAGTAAGTGTTGATGCCATTTCACAACTTTTCTAAAATTTTCAGAAATTTAATGAGGTAGAAGGTTAACAATAGTGAAAACTCTCTCCTTGTGAATCTAAAAAGATGGGTCTATAAACTATTGGTCATTTCCTTGAACTGTTAGTTTTTACAGCTCAATATTAGAAGCCATTTTGGCAGCAAGGCAAAATAGAAAGGAAGAGAAAGTTGTCACAGTTATTTGTCTTTGATTGTAAGAGGTTAGAAGATTTTGTTTCAGTTTGGAAATTGTGATTCGCTTCTTGCTAGAGAGCTGGACTGTTTTTAATGTTATAATTTTTTCTAGGTGTGGAAAAAGTTCACCTCTCGATTATATTTTGGAGATGGTGAGGTTAAAGCTGTGGCAAAGTCCTTTTCCTAGACCCAGGCCCTCATCAGCATAATGTTGGTGTCCTGAGGGGAGAGCTGGAATTCATTATTCATCTTCTGGGAGGAGGCCAGGGCCAGAGCCTGCCTTCTGCTTTACTGAGTGTGCCATTTGTGATGAAGGCAGCCCAAGTCCATTTGCGGAATTCTCCTGTCATCCAGCCAAGAGAGAAACACAGAGGAAGCAATGAGCAGGGGGCAGCAGGCAGCTTGGCAGCACAGTCCTGGAGTGCGGTTTCTGGAGCAGGATCACACAGTGTTAGGTTTAGGTACTAAGGGAAGGTACTCATATGGGTAAAGGAGTCAGGCTGGCAATTTTGCATTTTTTTGTCTTTCTTTATTTCTTTTTCTTCTTTTTGTTCCTTCTGTCTTTGAACACTCGTGTGTCATCCTTTGAAAAACTCGGGATCTGAAAAAAAGGCTTTCCTGACACACTGTTTTTCTCTTCAGCAGTACAGTACTGGGGGTCCCCCCGAACCTCATTCCCCCTTTTCCCCCAGTTTTCTCTTCCTCTGAGGGCAGGAGGCAAGACAATGATCAAGTCAAGCTGGTTCTATGTTAAGTTCAAGTATGCAGAGAAGGTAAGTCGGTATATTTTCTTTTCCCAAGAGAAACCTTCCACCTCCTTTAGTTCTCTGGTGTTGACAGCTCCTCGGGCCATTCCTGGAAGCAGGGTCTAGAAGTTATATCTTTGAGTGTGTTTCCTCTGACTTAATGATTTTTGGATGGAACACAGGCTCTTGTGCCTGCAGTCTGATATTGCCACATTGCCATATTGTCACTGACAAAGTGAAAGAGGTCTTCAGACTTTGGAGACATTATTTAGAGTTTAAAGGAGAAATAACAGGAAACGCAGGATTTGCCTCATTAGACTGGATGGAGCATTCTCCAGAGGAATATTTGCTATGAAGTGTGAGACATTTTTGTTTGTGAAGCAATTTGAGAATGACTTTCTATTACCTGTAGTTTGCTGAGTCAGAAGTTTTGATTTTTTCTTTTTTTCCTGAGTTTACTTGTTAATGTATAATGGTGCTTTGTAATGTTCTTTGGATGCAGAAAGAATAACTTTGTCTGAACACATAGAAGACCATCTCTTTCCTGTCTGTTTAGGTGTATATTTTAGGGAAAGAACAAATTTTAGTTGCATCTACAATTTTAATGTTACACAGTTTTGTGTTTTAACCAACCATGACTTGCCTTTCAGAATAAAAGCATGCTCATCCTAATTCATTTTTATTTACCTGGAGCTGTATACATCTTTTCAGTTCTGGATGTATCATATCACATATTCTTTAGAGAATTTACAGAATTAGTACTGAGGTTTCTAAAATATCTCTTTGAAAACTTGTCTTTCCTGATTTGCTTATTGAAAATGTTGGTACATTGACTATAGGGTTAAACAGAAACTCTAGAGTATGGAACTGTGATGTAGTAAACTAGAAAATTAGGATGATTGTCTTCATACTTGTAATTACTAAAAATCTCTTCTCCACCATTCACCTAGTTTTAAAAAGGAATTAGATGCTAGGTGTGGTGGTACATGCCTATAATTCAAGGGACTTGGGAGGCTGAGACAGGGGGATTGCAAATTTGAAGTCAGCTTCAGCAATTTAGTCACACCCTCAGCAACTTAGTGAGACCATGTCTCAATATAAAAATAATAAAAAGGGCTAGAGATGTAGCTCAATGGTAAAGTGCCCCTGGGTTTAATTCCAAGTACTCTTTCCACCAAATAAAAGAAGTTAGAACACTTTGGGCTCATTTTTCTTACATTCCTTCTTCCTTGTGGATTTGTTTTATTTAAAAGAACCTTCCTCCATTTTAAACCTATTTGTATTGTTAACTATTAAAGCTTTCTTTTTGTGTACAAGATTGGGAAAGGTTACCATTGTAGTTGAGATTTACTTTTTTCCTTAGAGGATTACTTTCATTTGAGAAGCCTATATTCTGTGTTTGCTATTACAAATTTTGATAAGTGAAACTGTACTCTGCCTTTTTAACCTTTTCCTTGTGATTTGAGTGTTCCCTGTTGAGAATCTGAAAGTCGGAGTTAAGTCACTTGAATAAACGAATGCCAAAAGAAGGAAAGCATTTCTAGAAGTGATCTTCATAGAAAGAAAAAGGAGGACATTAAGTTCCTTCATTTGAATTACAGTTTCACTCTTCCTTTGGCAACCCAGGAAGGAAGGAATGCATTCATATACACTCAACCAGGGGTGATATAAAACTAGAAAGTGATGAGGCTTCTTACTTAATTGAAGAATAACCCTCCTGGTTTTATTGGATGGCTAACAAGAGAAACATGATGCTGAGTCTCATTTTCAGCATGCTTATGGCACTCCAGAGCTTAAGGATTCTTAGCAGAACTTTGGTTCACTTGTGCCTTCACAGTGATTCATTTTTAAAATTTACATTGCTGATCTTTATTTCAACACTGGTCAAAATAAATGTGTTTCATCTGGAGACATAAAAAGTCTTAAGGAGCAGAACTGCTTACAAGACAAATGTAAACCATTCTTTTTGTATTTCTCCAAACGCATTCTTATAAAGGTTATTAATTTGAGATGATACTCTTTTTTTAAAATTAATTAACTTTTAAATTTTGTACTGGGCATTGAACCCAGGGCCTCAAACATACTTGGCAAATGTACCACCACTGAGCCATATTCCTAGCCCATTTTATTTTTATTCTGAGACAAGGTCTCACTAAGTTTTACCCAGGCTAGCCTTGAACTTGTGATTCTACTGTTTCAGCTTCCAGAGTTGCTGGGATTACAGGCGTGCACCTTCAGGTATGGCTAAACTTTTTAAAGTTGTTTGCTATTTATTTATTTATTTATTTATTTATTTATTTATTTATTTATTTATTGTGGTAGTGGGGATGAAACCCAGGGCCTCACACATGCTTGTGCTTTGAATTTTCCTTGCAAAAATGCATCATGAGTTCCATAAATTCTGAAATTTTAGTGGTATTTTTTATTTTTTCATTTTTCTGTTCTCTACCCTGAAGTTGTATCCCCAGCCCTGGCTTTTTTCTCTTTTTAAATGTGAACATTTAGTACTATTTATTTTTAATTTCCACAAAGGCCTCTTGAATTCATGGTTTATTTAGAAATATACTTTTGTTTATAAGTGTTTGAACACTTTGTAAAAATAATCTTTCTTATTGGTTTTAATTTGAATCCATTGTGGGTAGAGAACATATTCTGTTTAAGATGAGTTTAAATAGAAGGGAATAAATGGAGGTAAATTTCTATAATTCACTTGAACTGGTAAATAAATGCTAATACCAGTAGACTATTATAAATTATGATAACAGTGCAATACAATAAATGATAGGTAGCTAGATAATGGGAATTGGCTTATGTGATAACTTCAGCCAAGAAGTCCCTTGATCTACTACTGGGGAACCAGAAAAGCCAGTAGTGAAATTCAGTCTTATGTCAGAAGCCTAGAAAACCAGATTAGCAAATGGTTAGTCCCAGGGTCGGAGACTGGGGATTTGATGGTGTATGTCCTATTCTTGGCCTGAAAACTGAGAGGATAATGTCTGAAGGCAGGAGAAGATTGGATGTTCCATCACAAGGAGAGGATAAAAATTTTTCCTTACTCTTTTTTTCCCCCGTTTTTTCATCTGGGCTCTCATGGAATGAACGAGGCCCATTTGCCTTGTTGAGGGCAAATCTTCTTTAATTAGTCTACCAACTGAAATGCTAATTTCTTCCAGAGACACCCTCAGAGAGACACCAAAAAATAATGGTTTACAAGCTCCTTTAGCCTAGTCATGGTGACACATTAAATTAACAATCACAGATATCTTTTTCTTTATCTTTGTTTTCTGAATTGTTTCTTGTGGATAGCATAGAGTTGGATTATGGTTTTTTTCCCCCACTCTACCAATCTGTCTTTTAAATCGTATATCTAGATAAATATTCTTGTAATTCTAGCGTGAGGTTTTTACTTAACGGCTGAAGAGTGTTTTTGTCTTTTTTTTTTTTTTTTCCCCCTGGTCTCTTTAGGACATGCACACATTCTCGCTGGGGGCTTTCACACTTTTTTCTTTGTCCCTACTTCTTAGAAGTTAATAGTGTGTTTTGGTGTATAGGCAGCTTTGAGCTTATTCTGCTTTGATTTCTCATACCTTCTTAAATCTGTAGCTTTGTGGTTTGACCACATTGAGGTGTTTGCAGTGTTTATTTTATGTATTATTTTAGACCCTCTTTATTTCATTCTTTTTGGGACCCTGAGACACAATTGCTAGATCTTTTATTATAATCTCACAGATGCCTGATAATTCGGCTCCTGCTTTTTGCTCCACTCTTTTCCCCCCTTCTCTTTTATTTAATTTATTAGTACTTTTAGTTGTTTTATCTTGAAGTTCATTGACTCTTTCTTCTCTTTCTTTACCTGATATTGAGCACATCCACTGAGTTTTAAAATTTGTTTTACACACCTGTTATCACAGCTATTCTGGAGTCTGAGGGAGGAGAATCACAAGTTTGAGGCCAGCTAGGTGACTTCCTGAGGCCCTGTCTCAAAGAAGTAGACAAATAGACAGATGGACAGATGATGTTGCTCAGTGGTAGAACACCTCTCCATTGAATCCTCAGTATCTCCCCCTCCCCCCACCCCAAATTGCATTTTTTTACCATGTTAAAAAACATATTATATGAAGTTTATCATCTTTACCATTTTAAGTGCAAAATTCAGTTAGTAGTAAGTGTGCTTGCATTGTTGTGCAACAATAGATCTATAGAACTTTTTCATCTTGCAAATATGTAATTCTGTGTCCATTAAGCAACTTCACTTTTCTCACTCCGCTCATCCTGTAAACACCAGTGTACTTTCTATTTTTTTGAAATTGACTGCTGTAGATGTGTTGTCAAGTGTAATCTTATAGTGTTTGTCTTTTTTTGAATGGTTTATTTCACTTCATGTAATGTCTTCAGGGTTCATCCATGGGGTAGTATGTGATACAATTTTCTTCTATTCTGAGGTCAGTATTTCATTATGAATACACTACTGTTTGTGCGTTGATAGGTCCATGTCTGCCACGCAACCAGCACTCGAGCTTCATAAAAGAGGTTCCAAGCATAAAAATTAACTAGTGAGTTTTAAAGTTAAAGAGACACATTCTCATTACCTTTAATGCCCAGCTTCTGCCTCCAGCCACCTAATGCGGTGGCAAGGTTAACACAGGAGGGGAGAGAGAGAGAGA